CATTTCAAAATTATTATTATACTTTTTTGTATGGTTAGCTTAGAATATTTGTAAAAATATTAGTAATTAGACCGATGAAAATTAGTTTCTTAAAGTAGATAATGGATTTCTAGTAGTAATTATGAATTAGTTTCTATTTTATTTTATTTTTTCTTTTTAAAGATAATGGATTTCTAGTAGTAATTATGAATTGATTTCTATTTTATTTTATTTTTTCAAATCTGTATAGATAAGAGATGAGATTTTTTAAACATCTAAGATCGTATGCAATGAGATTTTGTAACAGAAGAGATAAGCTCGTGTAGATTTATACTAAAAATAGAAAAAATAAAATCAAATATTTATTGTTAAAACGATAAACTAAGAAACAGAAAAAAGAGAAACAAATCTTTACACAATTAATGAGCAGATTTTTTTGCCTATTCAGATTTGTCCAACAATTACTATATATAGGATATATTTAATGATTTTGGCGGGAAAAAATTTCTAAATTTGTAAAAAGGTTATTCTTTTTATATAATGATAGATTACTCCCCTTATTCCTTCTCTGCTAAATATTATTAAATCTACCAAATCTGTAACTTAAATTCAAAATTATGAATTTTTATTAAATAAAGCAAGTGTGATATATACATGGAAGTTGTTCCCTTGCATAATTGTAGGAATACTCTATTTCTCTCTCTCACCCTCTTCCTTTGTTAATCTCTCTCTCTCTCGATCACCCTTATCTCTATCTTTTTTTTCGTTCTTCAATCTCTCTCTGGCACCCTCATCTCTTTCTTCTTTTTTCGTTCTTTCTCTGCCCAATTTCTTCTCTACAATTTCTCATAGCACACAATTTTTCAAATTTTAGAAATTACCTTTCAATTTCGGATCCATGGAGGTCTAGTTCAGTGGGGCTACGAGCGGCGGTGCAACGCACGAGGCCCGGACTGAAGACTCGTCAATTCCACTATCGTCTTCCCAAAATTCTCTGTTACATATATCATCTTCATACACCAAGCATAAACATCCTATTTATTTATTGCAGAGGCTCGTCAATGACGAAGAAACGACCATTATTGGTAAAACCGAGAATCTTCTAAAAAAGCTCAAATTCACCAGAAGTTTTGCAACTAAGGGTTCGAAAAAAGCAAACAATCGAGCTATCTGGTAAATTACCCTAACAAAACTTGACATGGAATGGTGATTTTATATCAAACCCGACGATGAAGAACAAAGTCCTCCTCGGGTGAGTCATTGAAGGAAAGAATTAGTACCTCGCAAGAAGAAAGTTGATATTGCTAACAAGGATAAGATTAAGATGGTTGATTATGTTTTTTTGAATATCAAGGTATATTATGTTTATTCCATTTCAGAATTGTTTATATGTTGTTTATCTTATGTATAATCATACGGTTAATATTAGAGAATTGTCTAATCATGTTTATCTGATGTATATATACAGTATATCTGAACATATATTTGGAGTCATTCAAAATTATGTATTATGTTTTATCCCGTAGTGTAGTTTACATGTTGTTTATCTTATGTATAACTATACGGTCAATTTACATGTTGTTTAACTTATGTATATAAATGGCATTATCTCTATTTTGGCGAGAGGAACAAATTTTTTGGAATTGTTTAACTTTTGTATATTAATGACATTATTTTTATTTTGGTGAGAGGAACAAATTTTTTGGATAGAGAAGCAAAGCAACGGATTGGAGAGAGAAATGGACATATTAATGACATTATTTTTATTTTGGTGAGAGAAACAGATTTATTGGAAAGAGAAGCAACGAATTGGAGAGAGAAACAGATTTGTAGCTATCATCGTAATTGTGAAAATAAGATCTCTCTCAAATCTCTTTTTGCTAAATGTTTCAATTGATCGTATATGTGAAAATAACTCCTATATGGAGTTTAAGTATGTAAATTTCCCGTTTGTTAATGTCTATCTGGCCCAATGTCCTTGATACACTATAGGCTTTTACAAGCTTATTTCTTTCTGGAGTGTCAACAAACAATTACGGAACCATAAAATCTGGACCTACCCCCTTGTATTCTAGAAGAAACCAAGAGGTACCACTCCATCAAGGGGACAACCGCCACAACAAAACAAAGCCCCATAAAGGAGACAAGAACCAGAAGAAGTTGGACTAACAAATTAGAAAAAAAAACACCTAATGTACAAATAAAATAAGACTTGCCCTACACATAGCAGACATAATGCACGACCACCCGAGTCGACACACGAGCCACTCCTAACAGCATAGAGTTCCGACAAAGCAACAGAATCTCAAACCCAAAAACTGCGGCCACTCGCGCCGCCTAACGGATTTGATGACGATTCAATTCCCGATCCAGATCTGGACTCCGAAAATCTACCATAAGAGAGAGTCGCCACAAAAACACCAACAACCCGCACCAAAAGGCTCGAAAGGGGATCCTATCACGCAACGATCCGCACCCTTGGACTCGGCAGCTAAGGAACACGAACCCAAACGGACCGGCGGACTCAAGAGGCTATGGGCCTAGCGCTGACGATCGGTAACCCAACCATGGATGGGGAGATGGCGAGCGGCAAGCGCCTGTAGGTTGTACAAACTCAATCCCACATCAAAAAATTAGAGGTTTCAAGTCCGATATATAAATTGGTGGGCTACTCCTTCTATTGCCAATTGGTTTTAGAATGGAACCCCATTTGGACTTGTATGTTGGGCTTGATGGAGAACTGGGTTTTGACTTGTTGGTCCTAACAACTGGTATCAGAGCCACGGTTGGTAGCCCAATTGCGATGTGGATGACTTGGCATGTTCCCCGTGGAGTCGGTGGACGGCGGGTGGATCCGTGTGCCTTGTGTCGAAAGTCTTCCTAGCGAAAAGGTGGTCAGGCGATGGGTTCCGTGGGTGATAACGGCGGTACAAGATGGTCGGATCGTATGAATTTAACTCAAGGGGAGGCCCAATGTGGTCTTGTGATTGAGCGGAGGTTTGTAGGGTATGCAAACCCCATCCCACATCGAAAAATTAGAGGTTTCAAGTCCGATATATAAGCTTGGTGGACTACTCCTTCTATTGCCAATTGGTTTTAGAATGGAACTCCATTTGGGCTTATATGTTGGGTTTGATGGAGAACTGTGTTTTGAATTGTCGGTCCTAACAGCGCCAACTCGACCACAGTCCCTCAATCCTCGGAAGAGGCGTAAAAGAGGGCCCCCATCCTCGACTCGTTGGAATCCAACTCGAGTAGTGCGGTGGCAGGCCTCAGGCGGAGGAGGGACAACGACGAATCTG